TCGAGACGGGCAACCAAGAAACGTTGCACGTCTTCCCTCGCTCCTCCCTCCCTCCTCGTCCACCGCTCCCTCCTCGTCCGCGTCGACTACGCCGTCGCGGTTCTTGTCTACTCTCGCGAACGCCAGATCGACGTTGAAGCCCTCCTTGTCGGCGAGCGGCCCCTGCGGGGAGTGGGCCAGCAGCCGACGCGGTAGCCCTGTGCTGATCCTGCTCTTCATCCCCCGTCCTTCACATCTTCTTCGTCGTGCTCGTCATTGTCGCCCGCCCGTCTCAACATCATTGTCGTCCGCATGCAGTGTCTATGATGTACCACCGCCATCACCATCACAGCCATCTCGACCATCGCCACCATCGCCTCCATCACCCTCGCCACCATGAGCATCATCCTCATCCGCATCATCATTTTTCTCCTCATCATCACCACCGCCACCACCATCATGAGCAGCAGCATCACCATCATCATCATCATCATCATCATCATCATCATCATCATCATCAGCAGCAGCAGCAGCAGCAGCAGCATCGTCCTCATCACCATCACCAGCAGCACCCGCAGCATTATCAGCATTCCCACCATCATGCTCATCATTAGCAGCAGCATCAGCATCATCACCACCGACATCACCACCACCACCACCATCACCACCACTACCACCACCACCATCATCATCATCATCATCATCATCATCATCATCATCATCATCATCATCATCACCATCACCATCATCATCATCATCATCATCATCATCATCATCATCATCATCATCATCATCATTATCATCATCATCATCATCATCATCATCATCATCATCATCATCATCATCATCATCGTTATCATCGGCATCACCGTCGTCATCATCGCCGTCGTCATCAGCATCACCATGATCATCATGAGCACAACCATCAGCATCATCGCAACCATATTCATCACCATCACCATCATCACCATCATCACCATCATCATCACAATCGTCGTCATCGTCGTCATCTTCCTCCTCGTCGTCGTCATCATCACTATCATCATCATCATCATCACCACCATCATCATCATCATCATCATCACTACCATCAGTATCCATATTATCAGCATCATCATCGTCATCATCATCAGCATCATCATCACCATCGCGTTCATCATGATCGACACCATCGTCAAAAACAACAACATCATCACCATCATCACCAGCACAGTCACCACCACCGTCGCCATTACGCTTACCACCACCATCATCAACATCATAAAGTGACCGTTTGCATGATCATGGCCATCATCCCCCTGTTCATCATCGTGATCATCCGCCTCGTCATACGTGTCGTCACCACCAGCGGAATCATCAGCACAATCATCGTCAACGTCGTCACCGCCACCACCGCACCACCATCATTCCCATGATCACTATCGTCGTCCTCATCATCACCGCCAACCTTGTCGTTCGTGTGCGGCGCGCCGCTTCGTCCCCACCGCAGCTTCCAGCAGGCCCTCTGCTCGAGCGTGTCAGCTCGGGGGCGCACGCGCCGCAAGCAGCGGCGGGGCTCCAGTCGCGCACCTCCATGCGCAGAGCTATGATGCCCTCATTGTCGTGGTCGTCGCGTCCCGCACAATCTGTGGCATCACCTCTCCTCGACCTGCCGCAGCGTCAGCAGCGGCTAGCCAGGGACAGCTCAGCTTAACAGTGCGTCCCACGCCAGACTTCAAAGGGCGACGGCAACTCATGGGAGCCTCCCATACCATCTTGTGGGCTCTTGAGAGTCGACGCTATTCGACGCTAAATCGACGCCAATCGACGCTAAATCGACGCCAATCGACGCTAGCCGACGCTTAACCGGCGCTATCTCATCGACTCCAGACGCTTATCGACGTTGAAGACAGACTTACGAGGGTATACACGGCTCCCTTGATTTGCTACCGAACCAAAGGGCGACGGCAACGGGGGTGCGCCAAGACAGACAGACAGACAGCACATCAGTGATCACACTGTGTACGGCTGGCCAACGGTGCGACAGCGACCGGCGGCGCCCAGACACACAGACAGGCGGTACGTCATAACTGCACACTGCCCCCGTGGTGCGACAGCGACAGGCGGGGACGAGACAGATGCACACTCCGGCTGAAAAACCGGTCGAACTCTGCGACGGTGTCGGCGAGCCTCGGGGGGGGGAGTGAGAAGGGGCGGGCCTTCTCGGAAGGCTCGGAAGTCCCCAGGCCTTGTGAAAAGTTTTCTGAGCCTTCCCCGGGGACAGAGAAAACCTCTCCGAAGGCGCGAGGGCTTCTGAGAAGTCCCGCCGCCTTCTGAGAAGGCCTTCTCCTTCTCACTTCCCCCCCTCGCTCGCCGCCGAAGACGGACTCAGCCCACCAAACGTCTGCTGAGTCCTGCCTGCTCGGCCCATCAGATGGGCCTCCATCTCACTCGTCTGGTGCCGAGGTGCCAGGGCAGCTACACTCGCGCTGCGTGCTGCGCGAGACGCGAAGCGCGAGTGCCTTCGCACTCTCGCGCCGCCCCCAGGTCGAGGAGAGGAGGACGAGGAGGGGGACGTCGCGCCCTCGTGGCGGCCCTTGCTGCCGCTCGTTCCACAAGAGCGGCCGAGCTGGTGTCACGAAGCAGGACCTGGAAAACTCTGGCCTGGAAAGAGCGCTGGAAAGAGCGGGGGTGGAGGTCGAGTCCTTCAGAGAGGCAGGGGTTCCGAAATCGCACCTTCGGAAGGCTCAGGAGACGGCCCGACAGATGACCATGCGAGATCCAGGGGAAGAGGGGAGTCCTTCAGCTCCTCACAGATCCCTCCGGCGGCCTACCACACACACACACATGAAACAAAAAAACATTGCTCACGGAGCACAGTGGGCAGGTGCTCAACATCTGCAGCTCAGGGGAGCGCCTACTTCTCGTGGTAGCGATGGTCAGACAGTCAGGTGTTCGCGGATCGGTTTTTGCATTCTGGTACCAAAGCCAAGACACTGAACGACAGCGAATGCGTACCATCATTTCTCAAATGGTGGGCCGACATCTGACACGGGTCCACGGTACTTCGATGATGGCATGAACCGCGACCAGCAATTCAGCTGGTCCACGGGGGAAAGTATGTTATAGGGCCACAGCCGTGAAGTATTTTGCGGCGGGAGCGGGGCGGCAGATCAGGTAGGATCCCAGTTCGGTGCTACCATGAACGGGCGCCAGAAAACCGCCGATGGCTGACCATGCTTGTCCACTGCCAGGCGCGCTCGGGCAGGCTCGGGATCATGATAGCTGGCAGCGGGCCAGCCGACAAGATGAGCTCCCCGAGAGCCGCAAACATGCGGCATCTCAGCACGACTCCAGTCGGTCGGTCCTCACCCGTTCCGACGAGATGGCGTGCAGGCAGTCAGAGGGTAGCTCTTAGCTGCGCGCGCACATGATGATCACGGCAGCCAGACGGCGGGCTGGCAACTTTGACCACCTGCCTCCTGCCATGCACGGTACGTCATGCGGCGTCTGTGGGGGCATCGGCTGCAGGACGGGCAGGCCCCTCCTGTCGGCCACTGCACGGACGCACGGCCCCGACTTCGTCAGCATCAGGCCTGCCCGTGCGATTGCGAAGGTTTTGGCCAGTGCAAGGCAATCGCGACGCCGGGGGGGGGGGAACAGGGGGACAGCAGGAGAAGGAGCAGTGAGAACGATGAGTACAGTAGGGGCCCGACCACAAGAAACCGCCCACAAGAAACCCAACCCTGAGACCCCAGGACGTCCACTGACTTTTGGTGTGGGCACGTCACGCTCTCCATAGCAAAACCATCGAAACCCAAGAGACCCAGGACACCCTGGAGGCAAGCAGGGTGTCTCTTGGCATGGGCCTCCACAGTAGGGGGTGAGGGTGTGCTCTCCCCTCCCTCTGGCTTGCCCTGCCCGCGGGCGGTGAAGGCATCTCCTCCGAGAGTGCCATGAACTCCTTCTTGCTCAGGTAGCCTCGGGAGGTGCTCCGATCGAGCGGGGCGCGCGGCTGGCCCCTCCTCCTGCACGTCCTCCTCCCGCTCCACGTCGTGCACGCCCTCGTCCTCCGCCTGCTGATGCTGCTCGTGCTCCCGCGGACTCCTGCAGATGTGCCGGTGCTCCCACTCGTGACGCTGATGCTCAGCATCCCGCACCTGCTACGCACCCTGACCCTGGCTCTGCTTCTGCGCCTGCCCCGCCTCGTGCTCCCGTCCAGCTGCTCTGCCGTTCCGCCTCGCTCGTCCTGCACCGGCTGCACTCGATGCTGCTTTTCCCATCGTCCCCTTCTCCGCCTGCTGCTGATGATGCTTCCCCTCCTGATTCTCCTCGTCCTCCTCCTCCGATTCCAGCTCACCCCCCTCATCCCATTCCCAACTCCTCCCTGTTCCTCCTCCTCCTCCTCCTCCTCCTCCTCCTCCTCCTCCTCCTCCTCCTCCTCCTCCCCCTCGTCCTCCTCATCCTAGTCATTCTCCCCCTTCTGCTGCTCACACACATACTTACCATTCCCACCCACACCACCAACAGAAAACCCGTACATCTACAGCATCGGCCTTAACAGGAGTGTAATCGATATCGTTACCAGCGCAAATTTCATGATCGCCAAACTTTCCCTCATCCACCGCATGTGTCTCCACATTATGTTGTTGTGATCCATCTTTTGTTTCCTCACCATCGCATTATCCTCTCTACCCACAGCAGGCATGGACAGCGATCATAATCGATGCTCTGCCATGTGATGGAGAGCATGCCCTAACAACAGCATGGTGCAAAGTAAAATAACGATACGACATATCACATGTTGATATAATTCTGATCTGCGCCTCACTTGGCAACTCACGCCAACGCTTACGGACAAGCACTGCGGTAAGACAGGTGGGGAGGCCGTCTTTGTCTTTGTCCATCTCCTCCCGGGCCCAGGCCCACGGAGTTCGCCCCATAGCACAAAACTGTCTTGCGTGCTCATTGTCTCGCCCTCGAGCCTGCCAGCTTGCGAGCGGCCCCCTGCCTGGACACCTGCCTGAGGCGACGCATGCGCGTGGTCGCCTTTTTCCCCCAGAGTGGCCACCACCCTGTCTCCATAGCCGTCTACACCACTGTGCTTAAGTATGCACCTTTTTTCAGATCTCTCGATGCAGGCATGGCGCCCTGGGATCTACAAACCATTGTTTAAAACATGGGGATCCAGGCCCTGCTGCGCCGATCCCCGCCGACGCAGTCAAAAGCAAGTGCCACTCCCCTCTGCAATTCCGTGGGCGCCCCTGCTGGGAACGAAAGGTGCGTGCTGTATGCTGATGTCAAGAATCTGCAAACACGCGTGGCTGTGGATACACGTGGGGCGCTCACAGAAGCCACCTGCTGGCGACGCGTGCGGAAAGCCACGGAGGACGGGACCCAGACAGACATGCAGCCGTGTGCGTATCCAGTTCGTGCCCATTGCATATCCATTTCACTCATGACCTGCCTCCTGACATGTTCTCCACCTGGCCACTGGGGCAAACGGCCCGCGAGGTCCTTCATGAACAGCTGACCGAGCTCCTCCTTGCTCAACTTCGCATCAGGTCCAGCAGTCTTCTTTTCCTCGGCTGCTTTGGGAGCCTTGGCCTTCCTAGCTTTTCTGGACTTCTTCGCGGCGACCTCCCTCCGCCCGCATCCCTCGCTCCACTCCCTGCTCCCCCCTTCTTGGCTAGTGACGCGCAACCCTCGCTCTTCTTTCGCTGCATATGCGCCAGAACATGACTCACAACTGTGCCACATACGGCATGAATAACGCGTCCTGCCCCCGATTCCGTCATGCCCCCTACTGCGCCCTAAGGCGGGCCGCGTTCATTTCTCATCCTCCCCCAATGCTCTTCAAATGGTGTTCTCGCTGTCATCTCCATCATCCGCACCTTCCTCATCATCCTCCATATCGTCATCACCATTCAGACCTCCTTCTGGTGATCCTCCTACTACTACTCGTCCTCCGTGCTCCTCCTCCACCTGCTTGTTGTGGTCCCTCTTCTGTTCCTAGTCCTCTTGCTCCTCCACATAATGCTACTTCACACCCTTCTCGCGCTCCTCGCTTCCTTGCCCCTGGCGACCGCGTCTGGGCATGCCACAAACAGGACGACCACCTCGGCAATGGCAGGGGAACGGGCGCAAAGATCGGCGGCGAGCGAGGGGGCGGAGTGAGAGGGAGGAGGCCTTCTCAGAAGGCGACGGGACTTCTCAGGAGGCATCGCGCCTTCTTAATTTGAGGGAGTTTCTGTGGAACTCACGTCATCCTCACCCCCGGCGCGAAGAGCACGAGTCCAGAGCGGCCTCCGGCACCGTTTCCGGACGGATCCGGACGGATCCGCTGGATCCGGGGACGAATCCCAAACCGGCGCCCTCGCCTGAGACATCCCCGCAAAACCGGCCCCGGGGGAGGTGCCCAGAGGAGCCCAGAGCGGCCTCTGGCACCGTTTCCGGACGGATCCGGACGGATCCGCTGGATCCGGGGACGAATCCCAAACCGGCGCCCTCGCCTGAGACATCCCCGCAAAACCGGCCCCGGGGGAGGTGCCCAGAGAAGCCCAGAGCGGCCTCCGGCACCGTTTCCGGACGGATCCGGACGGATCCGCTGGATCCGGGGACGAATCCCAAACCGGCGCCCTCGCCTCAGACATCCCCGCAAAACCGGCCCCGGGGGAGGTGCCCAGAGGAGCCCAGAGCGGCCTCCGGCACCGTTTCCGGACGGATCCGGACTGGATCCGCTGGATCCGGGGACGAATCCCAAACCGGCGCCCTCGCCTGAGACATCCCCGCAAAACCGGCCCCGGGGGAGGTGCCCACAGGAGCCCAGAGCGGCCTCCGGCACCGTTTCCGGACGGATCCGGACGGATCCGCTGGATCCGGGGACGAATCCCACACCGGCGCCCTCGCCTGAGACATCCCCGCAAATCCGGCCCCGGGGGAGGTGGCCAGAGAAGCCCAGAGCGGCTTCCGGCACCGTTTCCGGACGGATCCGGACGGATCCGCTGGATCCGGGGGCGAATCCCAAACCGGCGCCCTCGCCTGAGACATCCCCGCAAAACCGGCCCCGGGGGAGGTGCCCACAGGAGCCCAGAGCGGCCTCCGGCACCGTTTCCGGACGGATCCGGACGGATCCGCTGGATCCGGGGACGAATCCCAAACCGGCGCCCTCGCTTGAGACATCCTCACAAAACCGGCCCCGGGGGAGGTGCCCAGAGGAGCCCAGAGCGGCCTCCGGCACCGTTTCCGGACAGATCCGGACAGATCCGGTGGATCCGCGCCCCGGGGGAGGTGCCCAGAGGAGGAATGAGGAGGAGGAGGAGGAGGAGGAGGAGGAGGAGGAGGAGGAGGAGGAGGAGGAGAAGATGATGGAGCTGCGGGGTGGAGGAGGACAGACGGAGGCAAGAGAAGGATGGAGGAGGAGGAGGAGGAGGAGGAGGAGGAGGAGGAGGAGGAGGAGGAGGAGGAACCTCATCCTCACCCTCGCCAACAAGCGCACGCACCTTCTTCTATATACAGAAACTCCCGATCAACCGCAGAGCGGCCGGCTGATTATCCTGGCGAAGGACCCAACCTATGCAATTGTGAATACTGCAATTGTGAATATCTTTCTCGGTGGAGCCCCTACGGGGCCACGATACGTACGAGGGGTTATGCACGAATTGGGGTGGCGCGGGACGGGCACACCCACTGGGCCTTCGGTGGACTATGGAGCCAGAAGCGTGTGAGGGGTGCGCCGAAATGGGTGTGCGTGACGCATGCGGGCGCGGGCACTGGGGCCTTCGGTGGAGCTCCCTATGGAGCCACGAAACGTGTGAGGGGTGTGCCGAAATGGGTGTGGGTGACGCATGCGGGCCGCGGGCACTGGGGCCTTCGGTGGAGCTCCCTATGGAGCCACGAAACGTGTGAGGGGTGTGCCGAAATGGGTGTGGGTGACGCATGCGGGCGCGGGCACTGGGGCCTTCGGTGGAGCTCCCTATGGAGCCACGAAACGTGTGAGGGGTGTGCCGAAATGGGTGTGGGGGACGCATGCGGGCGGCGGCACTGAGGCCTTCGGTGGAGCTCCCTATGGAGCCACGAAACGTGTGAGGGGTGTGCCGAAATGGGTGTGGGTGACGCATGCGGCCGCGGGCACTGGGGCCTTCGGTGGAGCTCCCTATGGAGCCACGAAACGTGTGAGGGGTGTGCCGAAATGGGTGTGGGTGACGCATGCGGGCGCGGGCACTGGGGCCTTCGGTGGAGCTCCCTATGGAGCCACGAAACGTGTGAGGGGTGTGCCGAAATGGGTGTGGGTGACGCATGCGGGCGCGGGCACTGGGGCCTTCGGTGGAGCTCCCTATGGAGCCACGAAACGTGTGAGGGGTGTGCCGAAATGGGTGTGGGTGACGCATGCGGGCGCGGGCACTGGGGCCTTCGGTGGAGCTCCCTATGGAGCCACGAAACGTGTGAGGGGTGTGCCGAAATGGGTGTGGGGGACGCATGCGGCCGCGGGCACTGGGGCCTTCGGTGGAGCTCCCTATGGAGCCACGAAACGTGTGAGGGGTGTGCCGAAATGGGTGTGGGTGACGCATGCGGGCGCGGGCACTGGGGCCTTCGGTGGAGCTCCCTATGGAGCCACGAAACGTGTGAGGGGTGTGCCGAAATGGGTGTGGGTGACGCATGCGGGCGCGGGCACTGGGGCCTTCGGTGGAGATCCCTATGGAGCCACGAATCGTGTGAGGGGTGTGCCGAAATGGGTGTGGGGGACGCATGCGGCGCGGGCACTGGGGCCTTCGGTGGAGCTCCCTATGGAGCCACGAAACGTGTGAGGGGTGTGCCGAAATGGGTGTGGGTGACGCATGCGGGCGCGGGCACTGGGGCCTTCGGTGGAGCTCCCTATGGAGCCACGAAACGTGTGAGGGGTGTGCCGAAATGGGTGTGGGTGACGCATGCGGGCGCGGGCACTGGGGCCTTCGGTGGAGCTCCCCAGTGCACGAAACGTGTGAGGGGTGTGCCGAAATGGGTGTGGGTGACGCATGCGGGCGCGGGCACTGGGGCCTTCGGTGGAGCTCCTATGGAGCCACGAAACGTGTGAGGGGTGTGCCGAAATGGGTGTGGGTGACGCATGCGGGCGCGGGCACTGGGGCCTTCGGTGGAGCTCCCTATGGAGCCACGAAACGTGTGAGGGGTGTGCCGAATTGGGTGTGGGTGACGCATGCGGGCGCGGGTACTGGGGCCTTCGGTGGAGCTCCTATGGGGCTACGAAACGCTGTACTGGGTGGGTGAAACGCAGGGAAGAGGGGGAGGAGGGAGGAGGAGGAGGAGGAGGAGGAGGAGGAGGAGGAGGAGGAGAGGAGAGGAGAGGAGAGGAGACGCGGGGACGGTTTCTTCAAAACGAGGACCCAACACCACAGGATGGTTGGGAAAAATTGTATGCGCCTTCGGGAAAGGCTCAGAAAGCTTCTCAGAAGGCCGGGGGACTTCCGAGCCCTCTGAGAAGGCCTTCTCCTTCTCAATTCCCCCCCAGGCTCGCCGCCGAAAAGACCACTCGGATCAAACATGATGAGCGCACAAACGCAGAGCAACAACAACAGGAGAAGTAGGAAGGGGGAAGCCGTTCCCCTTCCCGGCCGCAATTTCGTCGAACTCCCTGAGATTCCAATCTTTCTCCTCCGCACCCTCCTCCTCCTCCTCCTGCTCTCGGCGGCGGGCGAGGGGGGGGAAGTGAAGAGGAGGAGGCCTTCTCAGAAGGCGGCGGGACTTCTCAGAAGGCATCACGCCTTCTAAAAAATTGTATGCGTCTTCGGGAAAGGCTCAGAAAACTTCTCTCGGGGATGGACAGACCCCCCTTTAGTAAAACGTGGTTTAGTGAAAACGACCTGAAGCCCAAACCTGGCGGGCGCAAGCCTGGAAAATAACGGCCACGGCGCCCTCTCGAGAACCGAAAACGGACAATTCACTAATCGACGTGTCACTTTTGGGGGTTCTGTCCACCCCCGATTCTCAGAAGGCCGGGTGACTCCCGAGCCTTCCGAGAAGGCCTGCCCCTTCGCACTTCCCCCTGGGCTCGCCGCCGATGCTCTTCCTCCATCTCCCCGCCGTCCGTATGCTCGTGCTCGTCCCTGCTTCCTCTCCTCTGAGAGGCAACGATAGGAAGGATAGGCATAGGGGGGGATGCATCGACCTGGAATCGGCGATACATCGTCGATAGATCGGCGGTAGGCCCCCGATAGAGATTCCGCACCTTCCTGGGCGGGGTGGTGCTATAGGGCCCTATCGGCGATCGATGGGCGATTGGGGGTCGATGCATCCCCCCCATATGCCTATCCCCCCCTATCGTTGCCCCTGATCCTCTTCACGCTCCTGCTTGATCTTAGCGAGCCGGCGCAGGAACGCCGCTCCGCAGACAGCCGCCTGCACTGCAGGCGCGCCCTCCGCGCACTGCGGGCAGGTGCCGCTGCGGAGCCCGCCACTCTTGCCTCGGGAAACTCTGCCGACTGCCGCACTCCTGCACGACACGACAGCCGTGCACGGGACACGGAGCTCCTGTTTCACGGAGGGCCCGAGCGGTGCCTCTGAGCATCGTTTGAGCGATCCCTATCTCCACGGGCGTAGCCTGGGCCCCACTGGCCGATTTAGCCGCCCGGATGGGGATATGGGCTGTTCTCTCTCTCTCTCTCTCTCTCTCTCTCTTCGAGTTTCGAGTGGCATATCCCCAACTGGGGTGATGGGATGGTGCGGATCGGGATGGGGATGGGGATAAGGATTGGCTAATCGATACTGAGCCTCGCGCACAGTCCGCAACTTTCAAAACGAGGTCGCGGCGACGACAACAGGGGTGGGGTCAACAATCCTGGCTGCAGTCTGGCCAAGTCTCCCGAGTCTGGGAATATGCGCGGGAATGGGTTCACGCATGCGAGTGAATCTGGCTGCTGGCATAGGCATGACACTCTATACGAAAGTTTGGGGGTGAACAGACAAAGAGCATGCGCGAGGGTCCCCGGCAGTGTTTGTGTCTGGATACGGGCATGAGTGCACAAGGGCGGGCATGTTCAGCTGTGCTCGTATGAGGTTGGCATGCGTAGTGGTCCGCGTCAGGGTACGAGCATTCACAGAAAATGAAAGTTGTCTGGGGGAGGGCAGCGTCTTCCTGTACCATCTGAAGCTCGTCTGGGGGCTCCCAGGGACTTGTCAGGGCGCGCGGCAGGGATCGTGTTAGAGGGCGCTCGGGGGCCTCTTGAAGTCTCCTGGGGCTGATTTGGGGCATCTTGGAGCTATGCGGGGATGGCTTAATTAGTGGCCCTTCTGGGGTAATACGGGCCCGTTGGTGCCCTCTCCAGGCTCGCTCGCGTCCGTCCTAAAGCCATGTTGGGCTCATATTAGGCCGGTTGGGGATCCTCTTGGACGGTCCTGGGAGCCTTCTGGGGGTGTGTCGCTGCCCTTGGGGTCCTTTTGGGCCGTCTGGCGTGATCTTGGGGACTTCTAGGGCCGTCTCGGACGCTCTGAAGGTCGAGATGGCTAGCCTCAAACAGCAGACAAAGACAACATACAACTAGCATGTTTGCTCCTTGGGGGCCTCGTGGAGGTCCTCTTGGGCAACCCTTGAGCCATCTTGGGAGCATGCTCGGCCGCGTTAGGCCCATCCTGGGCCCCTGCAACAAACATCGAGGGATACTTAGGGAGTGTTGGAGCGCCGGAGAGCCTCTTGGGGAGGCCCCACGAGGCGCATTCAAGCGCCTCGCGACTCGAGGCGCATTCGAGCGCCTCGGCCATCCCCTCATCCTCTGGAGGAGAAGAGGGCCTGGCATCGTGCTGCTCTGGCCCCTGGCACTCCTAGGAGGGGGGTCAAGGCCCTGCATGGGCAAGCCCCTCCCCCCCCACATATATATATATATATATATATATAAATAAATATAATAAATAATATATATATATATATATATAATATATATATATATATGTATAGACCCTCCCCCCCCAGGAGGGGGGGGGAAGGGAGCAGGGGCAGGCCCCGTCCACAGAAAAACACCTTCCCGGGGGGGGAGGGAGCGGGAGGGAGAAGGGAGAGGAGGAGGGAGGGGGCATAAAAGGAGGAGGGAGAGGAGGAGGGAGAGGAGGAGGGAGAAGGGAGAGGAGGAGGGAGAGGAGGAGGAAGAGGAGGGAGAAGGGAGAGGAGGAGGATGTCTTAAAAGCTCGGGGGTCCGCTTTCAAGATCAGCATGCGCTTTTCCGTTTTGGGGGATTGTCTTACCCCGTTTGGGGGATCCTCTTCTCGCTGCAGGGTGTGTGCGGGCTGCCGTTTTTGTGTATGCTTAGGGCTGCCGTGCTGTTGTCCGTTTCGGTTGGCCGAACACCGACAAGTTGAAAGCTAAGCAAAACACTTCCCCAGCGTTTGCAGCAGCAACTAGCCTTAGCCGCCGCGGTACGCACCACGCAGCTCGCAGCGCGTTGACACGGAGCTCAAAGCGTAGACTGAAACTGCAGGTCTGGCGCGATCCTTTCGCCAGAACGCGGGCCAACACGAGCCGAGCCAGCACGCAGCGTGTGAACATGGACGTTCTGAACACGGCACGCGTTGCGCTTCAATATGGGCGTATCAGAGCAGCTGGGCAACCTGCAGCCCCCCCGCCCCCCAAAAAAACGAGCATACCTCCTTCTCCTCCGCCTCCCCTCCGTCGAGGAAGCGCGAACGTGGATCGCCGACGCGACGGGTTGGCGACGGGCCTCGCCTCCCCGCAGGAGAAATCAGCGCGCACCGCCGCCCCCTCGGGCGGCGCTGGCCCAACGCTTCCGCGGGCCCCTTCCCCAGGGCCACGGATCCCTGACCGACGTCGGCGCGCGCCTGACAAGGGCGCCGCTTCACGGGGAGGGCGACAACTGAGGGCGAGAGGGGGGGGGGAGAAAGGGGCACTTCTCGTGCCCGAAAGGCCCCAATGGGGAGCGAAAGGGCTCCTTTCAAGGGCCCCCCAAGGACCCCTGTTCGGCAGCCCTCGCTGCCCCCCTATTTAACGCCCCGCCCCCCCCAGTACGCGACGCCCCACCGACTCCGGGACATCGTCCAGCCGGGTCGAGGAGGAGGAGAAGGAGAAGGAGGAGGAGGAGAAGGAGGAGGAGAAGGAGGAGGAGGAGACGGAGGAGGAGGAGGAGAGGGAGGAGGAGGAGGAGGAGGAGGAGGAGGAGGAGGAGGAGGAGGAGAACGCCAGGGCGACAGCAGCGGCGGCGACGCCGACGACGCCCGAAAGAGAGGATGGATCCCCCCCTAAAAGCCTGGCCCTTCCTCCTCCCCCTTCTGGTACTTCGACCAGTCGGGCCGAGGAGGACGACGGGGCGACAGCGGCGGCAGCGACGCCGACGGCGCCCGAGAGGGAGGACGAAAGGGGGGGGGCAGGCGCCCCCCCCCCCCCCCCCCCCCCCCACCCCCCCCCCCCAGAAAATGCCGACCCACCTCCTCCCTCCTTGGGACGTCGACCAGCGGGTCGAGGAGGAGGAGGAGGAGGAGGAGGAGGAGGAGGGGTCGAGGAGGAGGAGGAGGAGGAGGAGGGGGAGGAGGAGGAGGAGGAGGAGGAGGGAGGAGGAGGAGGAGGAAGAGGAGGAGGACGAGAAGCCTTTCTTCCTCGGACTCACTCTCTGGGGCTTCGAACAGTTGGGTCGAGGAGGAGGACGACGGGGCGACGTCGGCGGCGGCGGCGCCGACAACGCCCGAAAGAGAGGACGAGAGGAGGGAGGGGGGGAGGGTTAGGGGCAAGCCACTCCCCCAACCGACGGTGTCAGACCGCTCATCCTCCCTGGGGCAACCCAAAAGTACCGACACCGCTACTCCCTGGACCTCTCCTAGGGTGCGTTCTGGCCAGAACCTCGAGGCAAATCCAGCGGTGGCGACGAGGCCCCCCCAGGAGGCCCCAAAAGCCGAAAACGAGGGAAGTGTACCAATATCGGTACCTTCCCTGAGATCCGATGGCGCGAAAACATTGCAACTTCGTACGGAGTCACGGCCTGAGCTCTGGACCTCACCTTTCTGCGTCATGTTCTCGAGCTGGATCGATCTGTGAGGGTCCCTGGGCCCGAAAAGAGGCGAAAACGCCGGGCTCGAAAAATTGGAACGCCAAGATCTCAACGCTTCCTTCCTGGGACCCACTCCCTGGGACCTCGGCCAGTCGGGCCGAGGAGGAGGAGGAGGAGGAGGAGGCGGCGGAGGAGGAGGAGGAGGAGGAGGAGGAGGAAGATAGAGGAGGGGGAGGAGGAGGAGGAGGAGGAGGAGGAGGAGGAGGAGGAGGAGGAGGAGGAGGAGGATAAAGGAGGAGGAGGAGGAGGAGGAGGCGGCGGAGGAGGAGGAGGATAAAGGAGGAGAAAGGAGGAGGAGGAGGCGGCGGAGGAGGAGGAGGAGCAGGGGAAGCTTCCTTCCTCGGCCTCGCTCTCTGGGACTTCGACCAGCGGGGTCGGGGAGGAGGACCGGCAGGGCGACCGCGGCGACAGCGGCGGCGGCGGCGGAAGCCGAGGGCCCGCCGTCCAGGCGGTCACGGCGCCGAGCAGCCGCATCGCTGGCCCGGGGCAAGGGCGCGCCGAGTGTCAGGTCGGGCATGTCTTCTCGGGCCGGGCGAAAAGGGGGGGACAGCAATCGGGGGGGCTTGAGAATCGGCTCACGCGTAGCTGGTTTTCCCGGCGCCTCCTGGCGCCGGGAGGCGGCCATGTATCGAGGAATGGGCCCCTGGGTGGGGCCGAAACCAGCTGCATGCAGCAGAGTTCGTAACCCCCCCTTTCCCTACCGCCCTCTTTCGTCCGGCCCGATATTCCTACAGATGGATTTTGAAGGACTAAACAGCTTACACCAGGGGAAAACCCCAATCAGTGGATGGTTAAAAAAATTGATGTGGGTATGAGAATGATCATGAGATCGACAGTGAGTTCCAGTGCGATCGGTAGTAAGATCGGTAGTGAGATCGACACTGAGATCGATCTCACTCGATCGAACCCGGGAACCGGGCAACCCCAGGATCGGAAACGCGGAACCGGGAACCGGGGAACCACGAACCTGGAATAAAGAATCCGGGAACCCAGAACAGGGAAGCTGGGAACCCGGCGGCCTACCGAAATCGGCCGCCCACTTTCGCCAAATCCTTCCAGGTCCCTCATTGCAAGCACTGATTGGGTAAAAATAGAATAGTCAAACATAGTCATACCACCGTCCTCAAACTATGTTTGACTATTCTTGAACATTCCTTCTGTAGAGGGACACGCCCGACTTAAGTCGAGTGGAAAATGGGGAGGGCTCGGCCGGCGCCTTCGAGCAGCGCGATTGTTGGTGCAAAAGCGTTGTGCAGCGTAAGGGCAAGGGCAGGGAAGGAGGAGGACTCAGAGCCATGAGCGACACCGACTCGGCGCTGAGCCTGGTGCCCAAGGGTTCTACTGGTTCGACCGCTAGCTTCAGCGCCATCCTGCTGAAGGAGCGCGAGGTCAGCACTGACCCCCCCCTCCCCTGACCTTCCAGGAGGGCTAAAAAAATAGCACGCGACGTAAAAACCTATCCCAGAGCTATTCTATGTCTTGGTTTCAGGCTGTTTCGTTTAGTTTTTTAGGTTTTTAGGCCTCCCGTGCTAAAAAATAGCTCTCTGGAAGGTCAGGGTCGGGGCCGTGTTGCAGGCCGAGGCGCAGCGCCAGAAGGCGGCGGCGGGGGGTTAGGGGGCAGGCAGAGGGGCGGCGGAAGGAGGGAGGAGAGGTGTGAGGGACGAGGGCGGGAGGGGGAGGAGGAGGAGGAGGAGGAGGAGGAGGAGGAGGAGGAGGAGGAGGAGGAGGAGGAGGAGGAGGAGGAGGAAGGGGAATGGATTGTGCGAGGCGGGGATGTATCCGTGTCCACTGCCTGGGAGCCAACGTCCTGGTGCCCCAGCGGGCGGCGGATATGGATACATTTTGGCCCCCGGGGGCCCGAATATGTTCATATCTACCGCCTGCCGATGTCCCCGAAAATTCGTCCTCCAGGCGGTGGTCATGTAGAAGTGCCCGCCTCAGAGATAAGGGAAAGCGTCGGCCAGCGCATTCGGAAAATCCGCGGGCCCCCTTGTGGGGCCACCAGGCTGTAGGCCGAAGCTTCACAGTTTCCTGTACCAGTTGCAGCTTCCAGTGTCCACTGTTACAGTTCTGCTTCTTGCTGCTTACTGTTCCTTCTTGATGGACCGCGCGAGGGGGGGAGGCCCCAAACGGGCATTTTTACCACGCCCTGAGCGTGTGCTCTGAATTGCTGGGGTGGGCAACAAATTTACACCCCTCACGCAGATCGGCGGGGTCAGGGTCCAAAAACACAAGGGATTTGCCACATGTCTGAAATTCGGTTGCACCCCTCACGCAGATCGGCGGGGTCAGGGTCCAATAACACATGGGATGTGCTACACTTCTGAAATTTGCTGGCACCCCTCACGCAGATCGGCGGGATCAGGGTCCAAAACACAAGGGAGTTGCCACATTTCTGACATTCGGTGGCACCCCTCATGCAGATCGGCAGGGTCAGGATGCAAAAACAAAAAAGGTTTGCCACATGTTTGAAATTCGTCGGCACACCTCATGCAGATCGGCGGGGTCAGGGTCTAAAAACACATGGGATTACATGGGACTTGCCACATTTCTAAAATTCGGCGGCAGCCCTCACGCAGATCGGCAGGGTCAGGGTCCCAAAACACAGGGGATATGCCACATTTCTGAAATTCGGCGGCACCCCTCACGCAGATCCGTAGGGTCAGGGTCCAAAAGCACAAGGGATTTGCCACATTTCTGAAATTCGGCGGCACCCGTGACGCAGATGCGGAGGGTCAGGGTCGAAAAACAAACAGGTCCCGACACTGCTTCACGGCGGCGCCCACACCTCATGACTTAGCTTTTGCATCTCCCATTCTCTGAGACAGGGGGCCGGCGGCATGGGGCGAAGCCCTTACGGATAATTGAGCGAGGGCGGAAGGGGAGGCCAAGGCAGCGATGGATGGACTGAACGACTCCTTGATTGCTACGCGTATCCTCCTTAGATATTCCCACATTACTGCCGCCGTGCATGTTCATTACAAGTGCTATGCTGTGTTCCTTTTATCTTGTTACCGGCGAGATTCCACAATTTCCTGGGCTCTGTTTCAGGACCCGCACTCGACCGATCGGACAATGCGCTGTGTTGAGGGGGGGAGAGGGGAAGTAGGGGGAGGCGGGAAAAGAGAGAAGTGTGAGGAATGAAGGGGGGAGGGTGAAGAGATCATGAAGGGAGGAGGGAGGAAGACGCAGGGAGGAGAGAGGAAGGAAGGGGGACGAGGGAGGAGGAGCGAGGAGGGTAGAGTGATGGTGTAGAGGGGTCTAGCGCTGGAAGAATGGAGGAGGACAAAAGGGAGGGGGGAGGCTCCACGTCCGCATCCGCCTCCACCGTCGCCTTTGTACCCATCCTCCTCCTGCTCCTTCTCCTCCACCTCTTCCTCTTCCCAACAACCACCACCATCATCAGCAACACCATCATCATCAGCAACGCCATCATCATCATCATCGTCATCATCATCAGCAGCAGCACCAGCATCAGCGTCAGCATCATAATCAACATCATCACCAACATCATCATAGTCACCATCATAATCACCATCATCGTCAGCAACACCAGCATCATTACCATAATCAGGATCATCACCATCATTATTATCACCATCCGCATCACCAGCATTAACAACGTCACCATCATTGTCAGCAAACGTACCGCCATCATCACCATCCGCATCATCATCACCAGCATCATCATCAGCATCGTCATCGTCACCATCATCATCGTCATTAGCATCACCATCATACTCATCATTAGCATCATCATCACCATAACCATCATGCGCATCCTGCCCCCTTGAAACCAATTCCTCTATATGCGTCTCGCTATCATCAGACGATGACGATGACAATGTTGTCCTCCTGGTGCTAAAGTGCGAACACTTTGTGACCCAACGGCTGGATCGCAAGGGGCTCTGCTTTAACCCGTGGATAGCCTCGCTTGCTTAGCGCTTTCGAGCCATCGCGACTACGGAAAGCTGAAGGCACAGAGCTGGCACGACGAAGTTGTGAAATTTGCTCTAACGCCTCTGAGCATTGCACGGCACAAGCACAGAGGGCGTCACGACGAATCCGCCGTTTTCTTCCTTCCTGGACTGATGGGGTTACGACGTTCCCGTCCCATTCTCCCCCAAAACATAAAAATGGCATAAAAAAGCAGCATGCCTCCGTCCAGCCCCAACCAACCGCCAACAAACGTACAACTAGAGCCATCGAACACTCTTCAGCCGAACGACTGGGACGTCGGCTCTGCTGGGGACCCGCAAGATGAAACTCCTGTGGCGAGTGCTTAAGTGGCACTCGCTGATCTTCCAGCTGACGCATTTTTTTTTATTTTTTTGTTCTAAAAAAAAAAAAGCCTACCAAGTGCCGTTCCACTGATGGGAACACGCTGGGGCCCTGCCCAGTGCCATTGCGGGCAAAAATGCAGAACCAGATAAACGCACTGAGACGTACCTTGATCTCTCGGGCGCCTGGCGGCAACTGGCGCACTCACATATTATATGAACGACTGGCTAGCCCCTGACCTTTGCAACAGGGCTAAAAACTGAGAGACGTGAGTCTGAGCTGTTTGGGAATGTTCGCAAAGCCTCTCATACCTGCCGACCATCGCCTCTCGGCCACGACATGTGAACAGAAGGGCGATGGAGAGAATCATGGGCGAGAGGGGCTCACTGTGAGCTCCGCTGGACGTGCGCGCTGTAGCCCAAAGCTCCCCCCTGGAAGTTCCTGGGCCTAAAGAGCTCAACGTCCAGGAACGTCGCGCATTCTGAGCTGATGGTCTCTACTTCCAATGCAAAAGGGAGAGCCGCCCTGGACAAATCCTCACCGAACCGCCGGAGATCCGGACGGGGGGTGTCCACCGCAATGAAAATTTCATCTTCGACTCGGAAATAGCACCGACGCCCAAGTGAATACATATACATGCGGTTGTTCCAGATGCCCCGCTCAGCAAGCTGGCACAGCGCAGCATCTGACACTTCGCCTGAACAGATTACCCCCGCCCCAGATCCACGCAAGACTTGGTCGACGCACTCGGCGCCATACAGCCTAACGACCAGGTTCTCTAAGACAAGCTGCAACGCCTCTCTGAAACGGAGCCGCTCCGCACCTTCAAAGAGCGCCGACGCCTGTCGAATGAGGGTGTCATGGGTGCCTGACACGGAGTACTCCTTTACATCGAGCTGTACCGTTCCGAACGAGAAAGATAACGACGACGACTTCATGTTCCGCAGAAAACCTATGAAATATTTGATGCTGTGCCGAAGTCCAGCGATATGCGATTTCAACATGCTTGTTATCCGTCGCATCATCGGGGTCAGAGACCTCGGTTGCATGCAGCGTGACACTCTTATCGAACGTATATAGTGTGGTTTGTTGCTTTTGCGGCGGCCCGAAGGTTATATGCGACCTTGTCTGGTTGCTCGTGGATCGCAGACATCGAGCCTCTGTGCAAGGACTGATCGGGTTCGTCACTGCCCAAGGTTGCTACCTCCATTGCGGCGCCACGATGCTCGGAAAGTAACGTCATGGGGCCAAAAACTTCCAAAGACTTCCACGTATTTGCACACGCTGCAGTTGGCCAGCGCCCGGAGGAAAGCATCGCGCAAACGTGCCTTGAACGCCAGAGCAAAATCCCCATCCTTGTCCGTTGGTCGGACCCCCATACTCCGTGCTGAATTTTGTCGTGGCCCGTTCGAATCACCCTCTGCACCTAGGGAGATGGACCAACGCGAATATGTGAAGACACTGCCGCCTTCCAGATCCTCGAGTAAATGTCCCGAATACTGTGGTTGACCACCAGATCAGGGTCACAATGGAACTCACGAGTTCGGCAAGGCTTGACACGAATGTGTTTCCACGTATCCTCATCTCTTGGATGCTCCCTATAGAAGGCCCCCCCCCCCCCCCCAAGCAATCTGATTCCCAGCATCTTCGAGGGCATCTGAAACAGGCTCCAAACTCGAACGGTGGCTGAAAATATAAATGTGCTTCGTGTGATTGCCCAGGATAAATTCTACATCCCACGCACCCTCCAATTTGCCAGGCACCCTGGAAGTCTTTGCAGCAGGGTCGAATACGTATACTCCAGACCGCCCTGTCCGCACCCAGCTAAAGATATCCACTCTCGCGCGGACAGACCAGCCGTGAGTGCAAGAAAATGTCTTACCATCGCCTGGCGATGAGAACAAGTCGGGGGGCATGCCTGATGGAATGGCTCATGGCTGTGA